CCCCCCCCCCCCCCCCACCTCTCTAATAAGTGAATCCTCTCTAAAGCATAATTAAGCATGACATCTGTCTACTTACATCAAGTGAGTACAGCCTGACATCCAGTCTGGTTTATACTGTGCTCCCATTTCTAGGGCTTTGTCTCTAAGATCACCTCTTTTGGGGTTTTTGAAACCACTCAGTACAAAAACAACGCCTTTCTTTCAAGATAAAATGAGTTTGAAGACATTTCAACACTGTTCCATGCTTTCTATAAAATCTATGCTATAATGACAATTCTGCTGCTGATGGATTCGTGATGACAACTGACATGATGATAATGATGTATTATGATGGTGATGATAATGAAGATGATGATGCTGATAATGATAAAGGACAATGATGGTAATGATGCTGCTGCTGCCGATGATGATAATTTACATAATGACAATGATGCATTATGCTGATGCTATAATATGATAATGCTAGTTGATAGTCACCATGGTGATGATCACTATGTTAATGATGGTAATGATGTTGGATACATGTAGTTGTATAGGAATTCTAATTTTAATTTCTATTATGATGATATTGATGATAATTGAGAAAAATTTAGGTACTCACCAACATTTGATTGAAAGGAACATTAGCCGAAGGCTGAGTTGATGCTTCAAGGAAAGAATACAAACCACTATAAGCACTTGGAAATGTTTAATCAAAGTAACAAAAGGGTACCCTGGCTTAGCTATTCATTAGTCTTAAAAATACCGTCATTTCTAGAATGTGCAGGTTTAGCTTCACTTAATTGAAATAGAAAAGAAAAGGAGAAATAAGAATAACAAACAAGCAACTCCTGGACAAATTTGAATTTAGAAATGACTGTATTTTTAAGAGTAGTCAATAGAGTTATACCCTAGCGACAATGTTGATGATCAAACTTACTTTTTTTTCTCTTTTGAGGTGGTGTACTTCTGCTAGATGAGGCAGACTAGAAATATGAAAAACAAAATATGGTTTTGGGCAGATGGTTAGAATGCATTGTCAAATATGTTGATCAGTGTGTATCAACAGTGCTAAGCAAATTACAAAGTAATGTACCTTTGATGGTTTTTCTTCTGAAGTAGTGTCATGTTTTCTTTTTGTGGTATCCTAGCAAGTAAACAAATAGTGAAAACGGGTTGAAACATTAAGTTCAAAAATAGGGACCTGACCTCTTTAATAAATGATAAGATTTGACTTTTAGTTTTGCAGATATTTGAGGACAAAATATGGGATTTTACTTTCAAAGTTTTTGGGAACCAGATAACCCCACCCCTCCCCCTCTAGATCATATTTGTTTACATGTTATACCAGAAAAATTTTAGAATCGCAGATATTTGAGGACAAAATACAGGATTTTACTTTCAAAGTTTTTGGGTACCAGATAACCCCACCCCTCCCCCTCTAGATCATATTTCTTTACATGTTGTACCTGTTAAATTTAACATGTCACATGTGACAAATCTTACAATTTGCATCCAACAAAATAGCGTTGGTGGCCTCCAATCAAAGTGTTTCCACAATATTGTCAAAAACATAAACTTTTCAGTTGCACATGCCTATATATATAGTAAGTCATGGAAATGCATTGATTGACATTCACCAAAACTTGTATGATTTGCACATGCTATTTGGAATCACTGTATGTTAACCCATAATCCATAATAAAGCAGTTTTCGTATGACTTTGAAAACATTGTACTGTATGCATTTCTTACCGCAACTGTTATGTTTTCTAAAATTTTGGTTGGCTGATTTTTTTCTCATGCAATGTGATTGGTCTGACAGTGCCATGATCCTGGCATAACCGCATCTGCTCCATCTTCATGCCATGTTTCAGACACTTCATTGGATGGAGAGTAAATTCTCAATCATGCAATTGGTCTGATGTATTCCTTGCCTTGTCACAAACCGGTTTCTGCCATGAGCTTTTCACAGTCATAAGAAAACTGAACTAATAGCATTAATATGAATATTTACTTTGGTTACAGGTGTGACAGGCTTAGCAGGTCTATCAGGCTTGACTGGTTTTGAATCCTGTTTGACTGGTTTTGGATCCTGTTTAACTGGTGTGGGTTCCTTCTCTTCCTTTAGTTTACTGGCAACTGGTTGCCTATTCCTGAAAGTATCTCCCACTGATGTCTTCTCATTGGACGAACTGGTTGAAGCATCACGGACTAATGCAGCAGTTGATGCTGCAGGAGGGCTGGCCATTTTCTTTTTTAAGAACAAACTTCCTGGAGTAATAGCATCTTCTTCTTCATCTCGTAAAGTAAAACTTCCTAACCTCTTTGGAGTCTGAATAATATGGTAAATGCAAAAAGGCTTAATTGAAGGTGGCATAGGGGGTAGTGCACACGCCTTTCATCATAGTGTTGTCAAGTTGGATTCCCACGCATGAGTAAAGTTTGTTAGGTTTCTCCCTCGATTTGAGGGTTTTTCTTCAGGTTCTCCAGAACTTTCTTCTCTCTGCAAAACTCTACACACTAAATTTCAAATCTCTGAGCTAGCATCGCCCTGACTTAGATCAGTCCAGAGACTGTTTCAGGGTTTGATCTGTGAGGTAGCCATGCCCTGACTTAGATCAATCAGAGACTGTTTCAGGGTATTGATAACATTTGAAAATTTGAAATATATTTTTTTTGCTATTGGAGACTACTCACAGGGAAAGGCAGCTTATCATAAATTATGGTAAAGGAATATATTTAATGTTCTTACAGGAATAGCATCCTTGTCGTCTTTTGCTGCCGAGTCTTCTGGTGGAGAATGGAGTGACACGAATGACAGACCATATCGTTCATGCTATCAAAAAAATAGATATTTATCAAACTAGATAAGTGCCCATCATAAGGAATTTTAAATCTATAATTTTAAGGTTGTTGCAGCAGTTGATCCATAATAATGATACCAATCTACAAAGGAACACTTAATTTATCAAACTGTAATTCCTCATGACATATGTAAAAAATTTTATCACAAGAATTCAATTAACAAAGAATAAAAGAATCATCTAAAATAGAAGTTTTAGAGATGGTTAAGTAGTATTTTTTGGGGGTCTTGTGGCTTAGGGGGAACCAAAAAATATACAAAAGGCAGGGATGCTTATCAGGAATTTTGAAGATGGCTGCTTACCTTATTGAATGGTTGAGTGCAAACTACCTTGACTCTATCCCACTTTTCATCTGCAACTGGTTTAGACAACTTGTCTGGTCCTTATAAGTAAATATTAATGAAACATAGACCAATCAAAAATAACGAGATAAACAAAGGATTGAATAAATTAATAAATGAATGAGCAAAAAGAAACAAGTGAATTAATTAATTAATTAATTAATGACTGAAAGACTCAATGACTGAATGAAAAATTGAATGGATTAATGAGAAAATGGATTTAATAAGTGAAAGGATTAATATCAGAATGAACTTGAATGAAAATATATAGAAAATTTAAAGTAGTTTCAAGCTTACCAAACATCCTTACTCTGTTGGTGCTAGTAAATGATTTGCTTTCTGCGGGAGTCATAAAGGAAGACGTCACTAGTATAACCTACATAGTAGTCAAATAAATATTTGAAATAAAATGTATAAAGAAATTAAAAG